GCCTGATTATTTCTGTGTCTACCCCCAGTTATGGGGACACTTACCCCACTTCACAATAAGTGTTTTGTCCAAGCTGACGTGGTCCACGTGACAGGAGAGTCTGTCCATCTCCTCTGGTGGTACTTCCACGGTAGCTGTGATCTGGTAAGTGCCATCAGTATTGGGAAGAACCTGTTTGGCTTCATCCGAGGGAAACTCAATGCCATCTCTCTTCCAATTTACATCCACGTCCCAGGGGTAAAACCCGTACACCTGGCAGAGAAGCTTTGTAGCTCCGTCTGCTTTCTGATCTGAAACCTTCACCTCTGGGGGAACTGCGATTAGAAAGGAAAAGAAGATAGAAATAAAGAACAGTCAAGGTCTAGTTATTGATCTTACAGAGGAAAAGAAACTGATAATGTTATGATAAAAAAAATAAAAACACAAATCAATTTGTCTACCAAAAAGGTTCAATAAAATACTTAGCTAATTACTATAAAGCACAGCAGATATATTATCTATTGCATGTTATTACATATGATTGTTATGGCATTAGATCAGCCTGATTGCATCTTCCATATTGAAGACATTGATATTGAAGCTACATTCACCTTTTTTAGGAGAGATGGATGTTAGAGATTTTTAGTGGATGTCTCGTTGTCTATTGCACTCAGGTATTTAATGTTTCTTGTGTTTTTGTCTCCTTTATATTTATGAGTTTTTATTTTGCTTGTACAGACATTGTAATAAATGTTTCTTAGTATCCTATATAATTTGTAACAAATGAGTATTCAGAATATAGCTCATGGACATAGGAGTGCTCACGGGATATGCCTGGGCACACCATAATCCCCGCGGCCCGCACTATGTGCCTCCATGGGCCAGTGAGGGAGATCAAAGATCGCAGGGAGGGAGGCAGGAGAGGACCCGGGGAGCTCTAGCCAGCAGCTCCACCAGGTTCCTGATGTATCCCTCAGGAAATGTATCCCTGAGGAAGTCCAGAACGGGACAGAACGCGTAGGATTTTAACTTTTACTAGTACACAGATTTTAATTTCTTTTATTTTGTATCTGTGATCCTGATTGCTGCTGTATTATCTGCTGAATATCTGGATACCACTGTGATGTGGAGACATGCTGTTTATCTTTTCATATATTGTAAGTGCAACTTGTAGAATAAATTTGTCATATTTTTATACAGTCTGCACTCTCTCTCTTCTCTCTATTTTGAGTTAGTCAGGAAGATACATCTATACCAAGATTTCTATGGATGGAAGATTTCCTGTATTTATGCAATTACCCTAATATTGAGGGAGACACGCCTGAATTTACTACTTTCTAGTGAGTTTTCTACCACCCCACAACCCCTGCTTGTGCCTATTGAATTGCACTATAGTTGTGTTTTATTCCACCAGATATATGGTGCTTATGGTAGATTTTACTGACTACAATACAGGTTGTACTATTTGTTAATTTTTTGTTTTTTTTCCCCCACACCCAGCCCCCACCTCTCCTGTCCAGCTCCTCCCACACCCAGCACCCACCTCTCCTGTCCAGCTCCTCCTTGCCGTACTGGATGTATTCTCTCAGTGATTCGATGCAGTAATTCTCCAGGTAATTCTTCTGTCTCTCCCCCTCTCTCACCTCCGGGCTGTTCACTCTCTGTGCGCTGATCTGAGCCTGGTCTGTGACCGGATAATAAACCCCGTGCTCGGTATCCAGAGCCAGGAAATCCTTCCCGTCATAACCGAACTGCATATACCCCCCGATACTGCCATCATCTCTCAGCTCACAGCCGTACATCACCTGCACAGAGTGATAACCTGCAAACACAGACACTGAGTGTGAGTGAGAGTTACAGACACTGAGTGTGAGGGATACCGGGAGTGAGAGTGACAGACGCTGAGTGTGAGGGATACCGGGAGTGAGAGTGACAGACACTGAGTGTGAGTGATACCGGGAGTGAGAGTGACAGACACTGAGTGTGAGTGATACCGGGAGTGAGAGTGACAGACCCTGAGTGTGAGCGATACCGGGAGTGAGAGTGACAGACACTGAGTGTGAGGGATACCAGGAGTGAGAGTGACAGACACTGAGTGTGAGGGATACCGGGAGTGAGAGTGACAGACACTGAGTGTGAGGGATACCGGGAGTGAGAGTGACAGACACCGAGTGTGAGGGATACCGGGAGTGAGAGTGACAGACACCGAGTGTGAGGGATACCGGGAGTGAGAGTGACAGACACCGAGTGTGAGGGATACCGGGAGTGAGAGTGACAGACACCGAGTGTGAGGGATACCGGGAGTGAGAGTGACAGACAGTGAGTATGAGGGATACGGGGAGTGAGAGTGACAGACACCGAGTGTGAGGGATACCGGGAGTGAGAGTGACAGACACCGAGTGTGAGGGATACCGGGAGTGAGTGTGAGAGATACCGGGAGTGAGAGTGACAGACGCTGAGTGTGAGGGATACCGGGAGTGAGAGTGACAGACGCTGAGTGTGAGTGACACCGGGAGTGAGAGTGACAGATGCTGAGTGTGAGAGATGCCGGGAGTGAGAGTGACAGACGCTGAGTGTGAGTGATACCGGGAGTGAGAGTGACAGACGCTGAGTGTGAGTGACACCGGGAGTGAGAGTGACAGACTCTGAGTGTGAGGGATACCGGGAGTGAGAGTGACAGACGCTGAGTGTGAGTGATACCGGGAGTGAGAGTGACAGACGCTGAGTGTGAGTGATACCGGGAGTGAGAGTGACAGACACTGAGTGTGAGGGATACCGGGAGTGAGAGTGACAGACACTGAGTGTGAGGGATACCGGGAGTGAGAGTGACAGACACTGAGTGAGAGTGACAGACACTGAGTGTGAGGGATACCGGGAGTGAGAGTGACAGACACTGAGTGCGAGGGATACCGGGAGTGAGAGTGACAGACACTGAGTGTGAGGGATACCGAGAGTGAGAGTGACAGACACTGTGTGTGAGGGATACGGGTAATAACAATGACTAAGTACTACTAGGATATGCTGAGTGTGAAATGAGTGTTAGTGACAGCAGTGCTAACCTACCCTGGATCCCTCTGCACAGACACTCACTGTAGTGTGATCCATGGGGGAGGGACTGGATAATATAATCAGATAAAAGCTTTACTCCCATTGGCTACTGAGGAATGGGAGGGAGCAATGTGAAACAGAACAATTCAAACAATGTAGGGATGTATATAAAAAATACTCCTTTCTGTCTCATTAGAGATATTTTTGCCAGAAGCTCAAGGAAGCAAGGCGAATGGTTAGCGTTAGGACCCACCTACGAGGTCTGCCTTGACGTGGCAGTTGGGCATATCCTCATGGCCATTGGAAGTAACTAAAAATCTCCATTTGTTTAAAAATACACAGGGATGTGGAAAGAGCGCAGGTAACTTTTTTCCTTCGGTTTTTACTATATGTATTTTGTGTACTATGGTCATTGCTGCCGCCCAGGAGTAATGGGAGTTTGAGCGCAGGGCTAGTTTCTTTGAATTTTTTATTATTATTATTATAGGTATTGATTATATAAATAGACTGCTATAAGGGGAGTCATTAAGAAGCACACACAGGGTCCAGGATTTAGTTTAAACTCAGATAATCTGAATATTCAGAGCTTTAATTAGACTCAAGTTAATGAAATGCTGTGTTTGTAATGTCAGTCAGTGCAGAGCTGGCTAGGAGTGTTTTTAACGAACAAGGTAAAATGTGTAGTATATGGTCCAGTTCAGTTGGGGGGATAATGCAGTTTTTGGCTGTTTACTGCTGGTTTGCGCTGAAATGAGTGTTCGAAATCCCTTATTTGTACATTTGTATTCTATATAGGTATTCTTGTATAGGCACATTTGTATTATATTTAAATCAGTGTTAGAATATATTTTTACTTGTTGAGGGATATTTTAGACAGAGACATTAAATTAGACCCTTTGGTGTTCCTCCTGGCCAGGTCCATAGACGACTGGCCAGGCACGGAACAGAAGCTGTTACACGAAGTGAATTTGGCTGCCAGAAGGGCCTTGGCCCAGGTGTGGCTACAGAAGGAGACCCCCTCCCTCACCGTAGTACTACAAAAAAATTAAGGACGCCTTCCTAATTGACAAATTGACGGCACAGGTCAGGGGCACCATGAAGAAGTTTGAAAATAATCGGGGGCCCATGGATAGAGGGCACTGTAGGGGCAAAGGGGGCCGGGGTCAAAGATCCACACGAGGTGGTGGGGCCGTGGCGGCACACTCAGCTTGCCCCGCACCCTAGTCAACCAAAATACCCCCTCCCTCGCTTTCTCTGTTCTTATCACCTAGTTTCTCCTCTCCACCTCCTGGGGCTACTCACTATCTTCTCCCTTTTCCCCTAGTTACCTCCTTTTCCTACACTCACATTTCTCCTTTTCTACTCTATGCCTACCAATGGTAATTCGACCCACGTTTGCCAGATGCAATGACTTTCGCGACATGGACTCATTGCAGGGTATTACATAAATCTGGAAGAGCAAAAATTACATCATCACATACTCATTATAGGAACGAGGCAGATGATGGTGGGTTAAAGATAGAGTTTCCGAAAACAAGAATGGGCTCAGATTTTGTCAATGGGCTGGTATTAGTTGGTAGGCTATACTATGTATCATACATCATGTTTTATTCCACCATTAAAAATCCTGGTAGGACAACACTAACGCAAACTTGTACAAATGTGGGCTCCGGCTTAAATGATTTTAACGCAGATACTAGATATCTCGAATGTATGTTGCATTTTGGAACCATTGTTATATGACGATAAATGAATATGTTCATAAACCTGTGTTAACTATGTTGTTACCTTGCCTTGTAAAAAAAAAAAAAGGAATATATTTTTACACAATAGAAACCTTCAAGTTATTATCTGTATTATGATGCCATCTAGTGGCTAGAAATGGAACATACTACTAAAGTATCAGAATACACTCAGCAAGAAACAAACTTACTATTACTCAGCGATCAGTCCTTAAAGGGACATTATAGTGGCAGGAAAACACATCGGTAAAAACCCCTCCAGTAGCTCACCGAATTCCAGCACCAGGCCCCCTTACCTCTCCTCCCCTGCCGACGTCAGCATCCTCGTCCGACGTCACAGGAGCCGAAAGCGCATGCGCGACATTCAAAGTGTCCGTAAGAAAGCATTTGTCAATGCTTTCCTATGGACGCTCTGCGTGATTGAGGCATAATATAGAGGCTGGCTTAACCCCAAATGTAAACATAGCTGTTTCTCTGAAACTGCTATGTTTACATCAGGAAGGGTTAACCCTAGAGGGTCTGGGTGATTATAGTGTCCCTTTTAACTCCTAGATCTTTAAGGAGGAATTAGACACACAGTTGCTATTACATAGAGAGCAGTCTCTGGCAGTCTGAGATCTTTTGACATAATCCTCAGTATTAATAAAGGATTTTTCTATTTTCCTCCGATATATCCAGGTAAATGAAATACAAATAGAAAAAATGTAATAAAAATGCTAATACTTGAATTAAATGTAAAAATTTCTAGTTTATTGAAAACATTCCTAAAAATCAATTAAAATATATTTAAAACCTCACATCAGACATGTTACTGCCATTATTGATGTCCTGTTGTACAATAACATTGGGCATTTTAAGTTATTTTATTTCTTTCTATATATGTATTAGCCCACTAATAATTTGTACTTTTTATGTATTTCATCTCTACAACCGGAATCCTGCAGTTGGTAAAACGTATTCAGTTTTGTAAATCCATTACTGAATGGACAGTACCAGAAGAAGTGCTATAAGTACTGGGTTTGTAGGGATACTCCAGGCACCAATAGAAACTATATGGATTTTTGTTTTACTTTTATTTCTCATTTAAAGCTAAAAATTAATTGTGTAAATAGTGGATTTTGTCCTATTTGGATGGTGTATTTAGTTAAAGAGTCAGTGAGGAGCCATTGAGAAAGCCGCTGGGATAAGCCACTGACTCATTATCCCAATCCACTTCCCATGAGAAGCCAAAAACACACTGGTATAGATCATTATCAGTTAGTGAACTCCAGGAGTCATTGGGACACTGAAAACACTGTAGGGCAGTGATGGCAAAACTTTTTGAGCCTGAGTGCCCAAACCGCAGTACATGCCAACTTTTTTCCCCTCAAAATGCCAACACGGCAATTAAACCGGAATACTGAGGTTTAAGTTTAGAAAAAAACAACTTGTACAGTTGTCCGAACTAATTCTCTTCTTTCAACCCAGCATCTTCCTTTCTCTACCCACAGCATATCCCCCTCTCCCCCCAGCATCTCCTCCTCCTCTTTCCTCCCCCCAGCCCCTCCTTCTCCTCTCCCCAGATTCGCATCCTCTTATCCCCTTCTTCCCCCAGCATCTCCTCCTCTCCCCTTCTCCCCCCAGCATCTTCCGCTGAATACATGCACACACAAACAGACTGCTGAATACGTACACACAGTCCACTAAATACACACACAGACAGACTGCTCAATACATAAAGACTGCTGAATACACATACAGACCGACTGCTGAATATACACACAGACCGACTGCTGAATATATACACACACACACACACAGACAGACAGAATGCAGAGTACAGACAGACTGCCGAGTACACGCAAACTACTGAATACATACACTCAAACACACACACATGCTGCATTGAGGGGTGCAGTGTATGTGTTTGTGTGTGGAGTGCTGTGTGTGAGGGGTTGTGTGCGTGAAGGGTGCTGTGTGAGGGGGTGTTTGTGTGTGTGTGTGGGGGGGTGCTGGGTGTTGTGTGTGTGTGTGAAAGGGGTGCTGTGTGTGTTTTGTGGGCGAGGGGGGAGTGCTGCAAATATATTATTACAATCTGTATCCCCCCCTCCCTTCTGCTTACCTTATGTGAAGGAGGGGGGACACATAAATCCCTGGTGGTCTGGTGTGGTAAGAGGGACAGGTCCTGCAGCTCTTCTGTCCTCCCGCCCGATGCTGTGTGGAGCGTTGCCATGGTAACGCGCAGCAACGTTCCACACAGATTGCTCGCGGGAGGACGGGAGAGCTGCTACTCAGATCCCTGCCCCCTGCTTCCGGTCCTCCCGACACGGAAGCAGAGTAGGCGCCTGCCCAAAACGTTTTGGGCAGGCAGGTGCCTACTCTGCATTGATGGTGAACGCTGGCCACGTGCCCACAGAGACGGCCCGGCGTGCCACCTGTGGCAGGCGTGCCATATGTTCGCCATCACTGCCGTAGGCGGTCTAGATCAATTTTTACATAATTATTTCAATAAAGGGAAATGGATTTTTACTAGATCTGTGATTATATTGTGTTATTCACTTTTTCGTAAGTGATTTTAAATTTATTTTAGAATTTTTTTCAATACATAATTTTATTTTTAATATTTTATTCAAATTTTAGCATTTTTATAAATTTTTTCTATGTGTATGTTTATGTACCTGGATATATTGGAGGAAAACAAAAAGAATCCTTTATTAATACTGAGGATCTGTCAAAAGATCTGAGTGCCAGAGACTGCTCTCTGTGTAACAGTAACGGTGTTTCTAATTTTGTAACATGACAGGAGGCTTCATATTTGCTTAAGTCTCTCTTTACTAGAACTCCTATTTTATTCCTTTCTCTTGCTGAGTTTGGATTTCTATATTTTTTTTCTGCTGAGCCTGTCAGATCTCTGAGGGATTTCCTTCCCTGTCTCTACACTCCCCACTTCATTTCCCCCAGTTTGCCTTGGTTTTCTTCTATCTGGGCAGCCTGTACCCATTACTGCTTCATCCTAGGGGGATTCTCAGGGTACCCTTTCAGTTCTGGGATATCACTCTCTCGGGGTGACAAACTTATACTCTGGGGGCTGTCCTTTTTGGGAGCCTAGCCTCCATCCCACACATGCATGTTGGTGCTCAGTGTCTGCCATGGCTTCAGCACCCAAGATTGTCTGTACATTCCCTCAGGTTGGGCCCCATTTCAGACGGCCTCTGTTTTGAGCCTGGGCCACCATAGAAGGGCCCCACCTTGCCCCTAGGATTGGTGCGGCCCTCTCACAAGCACTGCTGCTATTGATACTAATCTCTAGTAGTAGGTGAACCTCTCTCATATCTCAACCCGATGCTGCTTTGAAGTAACCTCTGAGGTATTACGGGGGAGAACCTCCCACCAGATTCTAACTTTCCCCGGTACCCTATCGGGCAGAGCACACGCTGTTTGATCTGGCTGTCGCTGGTACAGCTCCTATTATTGGCTCGCTGGGTCAGTGCCACTGTACCTCCCTACTGGATATACTCCTGGAGGTTTTTACTCTGAACTGGGGAGTCCCAGATATTTCAGATACATATGCCATTTTATAACATACATTGCATTGAGCAGACAATCTCACTAGGCTACTATTATTTATGCCGTTATGGACATCCTCCTCAGACAGCCTCTCCTATCTGACGAAGCAAGAGATGCTAATGCCTTCGAGAGCTGACATACACTTTCTCGCAAGCACTACTGGAACGGGGTCGACTCATATCCCCAAGTCTGGAAGTACTGGTATGCGCTATCTTCCGCCCTGCCACCCATTGCAGGTACCGACAATGAAAGCTCTGTGGGTTCGATAGGGATACCCGTTTGTCACCTCAGGTCATCGACAACTGACCCCTGCTCATTCTACAGAACTTAGTTCACAAAACCTGGACGCGCATGAAAGATGGCGAACGGTGTGCCCTAGTAAATCACTACCCTATAGGTCACAACGACCCCAGAGTTCAACATCAGTACTGTAACGGATCACCTGGCACCCCGACTGGGTACCTTCGTTAAAGGATGCTCCTAGCGCTTCCTGAGGACTCCAAGCACTGCAGCAGACACCACAACCACCGAACCGGAGAAGCATATGAATGCTCTCAAGCATATGAATGCTGTAAGCAGCTGAACAGGAAAAGCATACAATCAGCTTACACTCCTGGCAATCAGCATACAATCCAATTCCCCCAATAACGAGACGACACTTCGTTTTGAGGTCAAGCAGAACTGACTGTACTGGCACATACAGCCTCTTTTATTCACAATCCACAAACATAGTACTGCCCACAGGGTTTTGAAATACAACCAATCAATCCGTACAATACACACAGACACTCCCACACAAAATCCTCCCCTCTGCCTGTGATATGATTATTGAACACAATGGTTAATATAATTATGACAGGCAGAGAAATACAGTACCATAAAACACATCACAGGGACCCCAAAACATGCAATAACCCCATCAAGTATATCCTTGGAACCGGGGGATCTGGGTGAACCACATATCCAAAATTCACCAAGATCCGTTCAGTACTTTGGAAGATACAGTTTAATGCAGATTCCACAGAACATATACAGGCTAAATGAAAAACAATTACTGTATAATGTGTCCCCTGTTGTATAGTCCAAAACCACTGCACGATGTCTCTGTGCACCAAATACCGGCGAGATGGCACCATGTTGAAAAGTCCAAACAGTGTCTGTGAGTTAAAATGGCCGCCATCCATTGTTCTCACCATGTGCCTCTGATACAGGAAATGGTGGCCACCCAGTAACTCCACAGTATGTCCCCAGATGGTTCTTAAAGGGCCAGCAGCAGCACAACACAAATCCATTATGCCCAAATCATGTCTTTAAAGGGCAATACATCCCAGGGGCCATAGTCACATGGCAGGAGGCTGGCAATCAGTCTTCCCCAATGCCCAGTGGCGAGGTCGGTTTCGCCACAAGTACCAACACTGACTTCGCTGGGTCGGGGCGCAACCTTTGCTACAGTATTGATCAATACCTGCGTCTGCTCAGGTTAGGCCATCCAAAGTTCTCAAACCTCGGCACGACTCCTGCCTTGGATGGAGGACATCCTGTCACAAAACTGCACCCTGGATATGTCTGTCATTAGTGAAGAGGACTTACGTTCTATATGCATACTAGGCATCGCTAAAACGTCACGGCGCACTGAACGAAGTTAGTTGTCTTTTAATTTTTCTTCGTATTGATGCCAGGATTTTAGACCTCGAGTTCATAGAACTAGGTCCCTGGACCGAAGGCTTATTCCGGTGGGTAACCAGCTTCAGAATTTCACGATCGCATGGACCTAGATGATCCGGTCAACTATACCCTATCTTCAGGCTAACGAGCGTCCCATCGGGCCCTGCTCATGTTTCCTTGATGGGGCGGAACTTCAGCTGAGTGGTACAATCCAGCCATTCAGTCTACTCCAC